TAAGTTTCGTCGGAACGAAGTTACGGAAAGTTAATTAACAAACTGAGACGTAACAATATGAAGAAAAGTGCAGAAAAGTCGTCTTGACACGGCAGATCCTTATTCCATCCCGTCAGCAACGACAATCGCGCTAGATACTAATAAATTAGTCGACATTGCAAACGGAGGACCCGAGTTAGGCCAACAAACCAACATTAAAGTCCCACTGGTTGAGAATATAGATATCGTGAATTATTTAGTCCTAACAACATCTTTTTACACCTATAAAAGCCTTGATGCTCACAAGTATTTTGTGGCAGGCTGTGTGCACGATGTCAGCTGTGAAAAGTGTACAAGACGTCCAATTATATGGCTTATTCGACTTCGAGTCGAGGGTAAGTCGAAGTTGTTTTTAGTGACTAGGCCTATTCAGGCTATTGTTTATGTTATATCAGTGGTAAATTTATAATCTAGATATACTACATCGTATTGTATTGTATTTTAAAACCACCTGTCTTGTAAGACCACTTTCTTCAGTACACACAAGCATATATTTTACACAAATAAGCCCTGGATTTTAATTTAAGACCACCTGTCTTGACAAGCCACATTTATGATGAAATTTTATTATCGCCTACTGGGCCCTTCCACTTAGCACTGCTTGTATGGGCCTGTATCAGAAGCACCAAATGTTTACAAGCTAAAGATTTTATCAAGATCTCTGCAATATAATTGTGACAAGGTACGTCGTACATACAAGTAGTACTAACCATATGTAAACTGAGAACTGCATAGTCTATGTTACGACGATGGTTTCCAAGTCTTGTCAATGTTGTTAGGGTCTGTACGTTTTACTGCCGCAGTCCATCTAACTCTACGTACTGGATCTTTTGAAAACCTATAAAACGATAATTCAAGATTCTTTGTCTGGTTGTTTGTACAACTAACTGCCGCACAGTTAAGTGTCATTTCAAATACTTGATCCCAAATTCCAATTACTAGATTGTCTCTCTGCTATGTGCAAAATAGCGGTGTATACTTTTCGGCTTGCCGATAATATAGGCATGACGTCACGCGCATAGGGTTTATATCTGCATCTGTCCAGTGTAGCAGAAGTCGTGTAAGAGTAAATAAGGTGTTAGCAATTAAACTAGCCACATACATTAGCAGACATACTTGGGTTAGCCCTGACCATGAGTAAATGCTTGAGAGTAGGAATAGCGTCATACACATCTGGGTACATCCTGTTCACGTAGATTGTCTAACTAAACACAGGCAACCTGTTCTAAAATGTTGAAAAAATTACTTGATTATATATGAATAAACATATATTTATTTGATATGTTATGCAAAAGGTTATAGCCTATATACTTGTAAACTACAGCAACACTGAACGTCCAACTCACACAAAGTTAGGCTAGCACCAACCACGTGAGTAATGAAGTTATGCTAAATTACATACATAATTACTAACACCATGAATCCACTAGTATTTCCATCTTTGTCTAGTAATAACCGTAGCATAAATTCAGTGACGGTATTTGCTCCAGAAAATAAAACGAGTATTATTTGTGATCTTAACTTTATATTTACTCTGCAAAAAGGAAAACCTCATATTTGTTTTTTAAACATATTTTTTAGTTATTCAGTTAAACTAGTGAAACGATGACAAAAAAGAACTTGTATGGAAATATTTTTATTAACCTTTCTATTGTAAATGTGTGACAGAAAATGTTTTAATGAAATATATAATTAATTTCCAGTCAGGAATGTAAAACAAATTTTTGTAATATTGTTACACTAAAAACAATTTCCTTCATTTTAGTATTGAGTTTACAGTAAATTAAACATTTCTAGAAAGATTCTTGGGAGTAAACTAAACATAAAAATAAAGACTGCGTTTCGGTTTCATTTTTTTTCTCATTTCTATAATTTGTATTTACAAAGTTAATAGTTTAAGTTATTGTTTTGTTATATATATATACTTAACCACAGTAAGCTATTGATAGAATATATTACTGATAGCTAGTCACATTTTATAAAAACAATATTCCAGGTCAACGCTGTCCCTGTTACTACTTTCTCCATCGTGGATGGTGCTCACCTTGGTAGCCATGATTACACACTGTTGCCTGACACTGCTATTTCCTTTGTTAAAAGTCCTGCTGAAAGGTGGCAAGGTGAAACAATCATAGATCAGACATTTTAACAAACTTTCTATATATGCTGTGCTGGAGATGTACATTTGCTTCCAGAACTACGTTTAAGTAGATTAGATGCACAAAAGATCACTGGAGCTAAACTGGGCGACTTGACATGTATGTAGCCAAATGGGATTGCTGTGATTCCACTTTCTTTGGGCTTAGTTTTCATGAAAACAGCCGATCATTTCGAGGTGTGGCTGAGAGTTTATGACCTTAATCAACTTCAAATCCTAGTTAATTATCTTGTTAGCGGTACCAGAAGGTATGCCCAGCTTCATCACAATGGGTTTTCTTTAATAATCGTAGCCTTTACTTTGCAGATGACATTGTTTCTCCTGATTAATTTAGTTTGTGGTTTTGGAGGTCGTTGCCATACTAAACTCTCTGTTATGCGAGTTTTCCATTTCCATGGAGAATACTGAATGCTTCTTCATTTGAAATGTTGTGTCCTTTGGCTCTACATCGTTTAACAATGTCATTATATGAATACCTTTCCTCGGAAATGGCTGTAATATATATTCATCTAGTCATAAAAACAATCCTTAGAGAGATTGTTCTGTCGATTGGTCGGAATTAGCCTGAACCAAATACACAATTGTTTAGAATGTCACCACTGCATTAGCCTACGCAAATTGTTCTTATAAAGTTCGATTAACCCTTTATATTCTGTTTCGTAAAACTGTTGTTATTTTGTTATAAGTTACTATCATTTACTCTCTCTCAAGTGACTTGTTTTTTTCCAGGTGTGGTGTTCTCAGTTACTACATACCCTTTCCCCAGAGTGTCATAACACGAAATAATCCTATTATAGCCGCTGCTATTTTCTCCACTTATTTTGGCCATCCATGTAATATTACCTGCGGAAATGTTATGGAAGACTCGGTAAATTACACTACTACCACTGCTGAAAACGGGGACACGGTAAATGACACTGCTACCACTGCTGAAAACGGAACTGACATCACCGAAGTTATCACTATGACAACTGAAGTCGAAGCAAACTATACCATTACTAAAACTACTTCAGATTATTGGGAACTTGATAATGGTACAACAACCGAAGTTTCAGATTTCTCTTGGGAAATTACCAGTTCTGAAAATGATACCGAAATTCCTTTAAATCAAGACACTACAACAAACTGGTTAATAGACAATAATTCTACGAATAACGTAAGTGAATCCCTTTTTAAGAACGCGCCTCCTCACGGAGTGTGAGAAATATTATTAATTAAAAGTAAGCCTCAAATTTTTTAAAGGTGCAGATTAGAAGTTCTTCATGAACAATGTTTTTCAACCAATTATCTATTGAAAAAACACAATATTTTATGTTAATTTTGTTAAATGGAGGAGTATGAAATAAAAAATCGAGGATCCGATTCTAACCTACTTTTCTCTTTTTTTATGATTTTAAATTTATCATGTAAATTCCATTATCATTTTTATCAAGGTTATAGCTCCAAACACAGTTTATAATTTTTCCCACTTGTAGAAAACAAATCACCGGTTTTATCCCAGTACTTAATAATGAATTAGGATGAAACTTGTAAAGTTTTTGAAATAGGTATCAGTAGCTGTAAACACTAAATATAATATTCCATTTTAGTAGCCATTTAGAATTTGCTTCATCAAAGGACCGCATAGCTCCAACTTAATATAGCAATTGGAACAGTATTAGTTGAGCTGAGATGTGATTAAAGATTAGAGAAATCTTGTAATTGCTAATCTGAAGTCACTTCCCTCTCATGTTTAAAGCTCGTTCAATTTTACGAACTAACTTAATTTTACGATTTTATATATTAATAAAAATGAAATTTACTTTAAATGTAAAATAATCAAACTGTGATGTCACAGAATAATAGAACAAAATTTCCAGCTCTTTCTCTAAAGGTACAAATTTAATTAAAACATTTACGTTGATTTTATTTGGTGTTTGGATTCTATAAACATTTTAAAACAAATTATATTAGTTGTGGAGCTAAAACTGGTTTAAAAATTAGTTTAAAACATAGATCAATGAAGCAAAGTACCAGGTTAAGTCATCCAGTAGAATATATCTTACTAGAAACCATCACCTAGAAAGAAAGAGTTGTATTGTGGAAATGGCGTGTGTCTCACTATTCCTAGTCTTTTGCAATAGTGGAGCCAGGCGTGACTCAACGACTAACGTGCCCGGACTGTGAATCTGAGTGTTCATGGTTCGCGCCCCATTGCCGTTAAAACGTGTTACGCAATTTTGAGCTATAAAAGCGATGGCCAAATCTCAATATTCAGTCAGAAAAGAATAGCCCAAGAGAGGGCAGTGGGTGCTCTTGATAAGCAGTTTTTCTTCTAGTTTATCCTGAATCTTCCTATGTTTTGATATCATCCTTAGACTTGTTGCATACTTGACAAGACTATATCATATTCTGTAAACACACTTATTACAGAGTTCACTATATTTATAAAACAGATTAACATTAAAGAAATTATACATAGTTTATTATAAAGAAATAATATGTCGCTCAATGTTTCTTTCAGTATGAATTTAATACGACAGAAGAGGAAAAGTATGAAAACGTGACTTACATCTATGTGCATCCGTTAGACGGAAAGACCCATGTTTTGTATCCCCAAACAACAACGCCACCTAGCAGCAAGAAATCAGAAGTAGAATTGATGTTCGAAACTTTATTTAACTTTTTCTCTCGATCAAGAAATGACAATGAAAATAAAGAAGTTAAAGATACTGATCATAGTGCAGAAAGTTCCTCGGAGGAAGAGTTCCAAGATGATAAAAATCAGCACCATGTATGTGACAAAGTCCAATGCAAAGAGTGGACAAAAAAACAACTCCAACTCGCCTCCAAGTGCTGTAAGAGGTTCATTCTCGACGAACCAGAGCTGTATTACAAAGAATGTCGTCACTTTGGAAAAAAGCAATGTAAGAAAGCTCAAGTCGTCTTGAAATGCTGTCCTTTCAAGGAATTGGAAAAGCCCAGCTTTGAAAACAGTTCGAATGACGACATTGAATCTTTCGAAACTAAGAAGTCATCCTCCAAATATTCGTGTGAAAAGTCAGATCCAAGTTGTCGTCCGCATATGACAAAAATGCATAAGATGTTAAAAACATCTAATAAGCTTAAAAAATGAGCCTGACAACAATAGTTCTTATCCCTATCCATTTGAATGAACAAACTCATGTTCTATAATATTGAATAAAGTTTTAATCATAACCGTTACGATTACCACAGCAAAAAATTCCGTTACACAAAATACAAACCAAAACAATATCTTTCTTTTCAGCAATAGTTCTTTATTTTAAACGTATATCTGCACAATTAGTCATTGGCGCTGCGCCCATAGCAGGAATATACCTCCGAGTTTTACTGTTATAAGCCCCACCCAGCTCACTGTTGAGTCATTGAAGGGCTTCAGCAATAGTATATGGAGCGTGATAAATCGTTTTGAAAAATATTAATATGACTGCTGTAAATATCAATTAGCCACTGCAAATGTTTCCGAGTTTCGTAATTACTTATATAATTCACTTGTTTTCTGATATTCTGAGACCGAAAGCATATGAATTTACTAGCATTAAAATAATGACCTTACGGACACTTTTCTTCGGAATAACTGTTTATAGATTGTCGACATTAGTTCTATTATTCGTCTGTTTGAGCAATCTAAACATTCCTAGAACAACATATTTAAACAGCCGGATTTCACTTCAAGAATCCTTGAATTCAGTAAGGTAAAATTAATTATGACAATTTTCTACTGTTGTGTGAGAAGTGGTATGCCCTCGCAATTGCAGGAGGAGGGGTAAAAGGGGGCCCGAATAAGAGAATAAATGTAGGAGGCCCAATTACTTTTTATGCAGGGGGGGTCCATCTTTTCTAGTTACGCCACTGTGTGTGGGCCTAACTTTCTGTGATTGAACATTTTTACGAATGAAACTCATGTTATTTAATGAAAATTAAATCTAGCTCAGAATAAGAAAATTTACAACCCCAACATATCATTTTTTTCTGATTTAAGATAGATTTGAAATATCTTTTATTTGATGGAAGTGAGAAGTGCTTTCAAACAATATACACATCGAACATACCATGAGCTCATAATGCAGTCGTTTTTTTTTAACTAGAACAGTGAAACTTTGCTAATCTTCTGCTTAAGAATCAGTTCAGGTTTTGATACTAACTAGCAACCTTCGAAAGTATGTACAAAATCTCTAAAATATCTGTCTAATTGTTTAATTCCTGAAATAAATGTTTAAAATGATGGTACAAAAATCTCTAAAATATCTGTTTAATTGTTTAACTTCTGTTAAAATACATTAAAAACTTGTTTATCTTAGGGATAAACGCAAGTCCAAGAAATTACTCTTAAGTTAAAGAAAAAAAAAATTCTGATGCTTCTTCCAAAGTGTTTATGATGACGTCAGGTAAATCCTGCCAAGGACCCTGACGAATGATGTTTCCCCTTGGAAGAATACATAATTATAGAACATGAGGAAGTAAAACCTTACAAATTGTTGACTATCTTTAGATCCTACTTTCTTATAGTTATAGGGTTACTGTTTGTGTCGATATTGTTTTGTGGTACACTTCCCAATTTCTAATGGGTTGTTCTAAATAGTTTTGTTTATTCCTATAAAGAAAACACAATCATTTTTTTTATCTTATTATAAGATTGCAAACGTTATTTTATTATTTTTCAAGTTCAAATTAATTTACTAATAATTATCTTTTTCCAGTTCTAAGCATGTACAATATAAGCATGGTTATTTCAACAAACCTAACAAACTTAACAAAATATCTACTTATTTCAATCAATCTCAAGAAATATTTGTTTATTTCAACCGAAAACAACAAACATTTGGCTAATAAGTATAATTCGAGAAATGTCATGGTGAAGTCCCTTTCAAAGATCACGTGCTCATGATGATATTGGAGGAAATTTGATCTCTCCAGTTATTTGATTTGCTTGTAGAACCACGTGACTTTTGAAATATGTTTCATAACATTTCAAGTATTTACACTAAATCAAAACAAAATCTTGTACGATTATTTTCTTAGCTGAAAATTATGTACAATTTATAGTACTAAAACTCCATTCGGTCGATATCAGATTTCTTAAATTATTCAGGTATATAATGGTAAATATTACATTAGCTAGATAAAGTAGCTATGAAAAAAAAAAGTGTGAAAATTTTTCATTTTTGTTTATTTGTTTGTTTTCTTTCAGCTTTTTATTGTACTAAAATTATAGATTATATTTCGAAATATTTCAGTTTGTTGTGATTTCATAGTTTATGTAAGTACAAACTGGAAAGTAATTTTCGTTAGAAATAACTTGGCACAACTAAACTGTTTTTCTCTCACTTATTACATAATATTCTTGTGTATCTTCAGTTTCTTATTAAACAATAAAAAAATAAAAAATCATGCATTTGTTATTTTGTTACATTCATGCACTACTTACAATGGTTAAATAAAGAAATTCTAGTATTCTAATTCTTTGAAATGAATTAAATAAATTCTTATGTGTCAGTTTTTACTTTATTAACAGTTTCACATTTCTGTCGCAATGTTCCAAGAAAAGTTTTGAAGTAAAAACAATCCTCAAGCATGACTTTCTCAATTTTAAAGTTAGATTAGGTTTCAATACACAACATATTTTCAAGACGAAATTTTCTGATCAAACTTATATTGAATTGCTTAAATACATAATAGTATATGCATCACAATGCAGGCATACAGATAAACATCTCTAAGACGCAATAATTGTTTGTTTGTTTTTAATTATGCACAAAGCTACTCAATGGCTATCTGTCCTCTGCCCACTACGGGTATTGAAACCCGGTTTCTAGCGTTGTAAGTCCGCAGACATACCGCTGTGCCACTGGGGGGCGACACAATACTATTTTCATCAAAATGTAAACCTGTAGACAAATCTGTATATCAAATTGTTTAAATATACAATACTATGCTCATCAAAATGTAAACCTGTGGGCAAACATGTATACTAAATTGTTTAAACACAATATTTTATTTATCACAATATAAGCAGGTAGATAAACATGTATTAAATTGTTTAACTACACAATACTATGTTCATCACAGTTTAAGCGCGTAGATAAGCATGTATCAAACTGTTTAAGTCAGCACTGTGTTCATCATAATTTAAGTGCATATATATACATATATCAAGTTGTTTAAATACACAATACTATGTTCATCACAATTTAAGCGCGTAGATAAGCATGTATTAAACTGTTTATATCAATACTATTGTTAAAACAGCGCAAGTCACGCGACGCTGGGAGCATGCGCGCTGGAGTTTCTAGAAGGATCATGAATTTTCCTGGCAACTCTACTTTGTTG